ACATGCACGTCAGCTTCTGCAGTGTGATTCATAGCACAGATAGCTCTAAATTGCATTTAGATTCATCCCCTGTCCCATTTTTTGTCCATTTTTGTTCAGCTTTTGCAATTTATCATTGGCGCTGGCATTTTGCCATTATCCGCAAAAGTTCCTTCGAAGCAAAGCCTTTAGCGATCCTCAGACCAGAGAGTCTGAGAATACCTTGTTGCACTACATAAGCACTGCTGTCGACGCCTCGTCACGCAGCCTGTTCTTGGGGAATGCTGGATCTTGCGTTCATCCACATTGACTTGTCTAGGGGCTTTATTTACCAAAGATCCATCGAAACCATCGGCATGAAAAAATCATTGGCGACGCGCACCGGGTGGGCCCGTGCGATCATGCGTTTTTGCAATGTTTCGTGCCGTAATGAGATTGCTCGGAAACCCGGTAGCTAGAAATGTGTGATATACTGGTCCTCGAAGTCTGGGAAGTTAATTGTCTATGTATTATGCAGCCGGACAGATTTCGCACGCGGGAGTGTCGCGAATGCGAGGGAACGGTGGTGATCGATTATGGCGGCATATTTGCCGACCAGTGAGATGGACGGGAATGTACTAAAAATGATTAAGGCCACTAGCGCCGCCGGGCAAGTTTATTTGGATGCTGATGAGGCACAAGAGGCAAACAGCCCTATTTCGGCATCCCAGCGACGTGCACCACAACCACTACAGCTTGCTCGTTCATCTCGGTCAGGCGAGTTCTTGTATTCACCCGTGCAGGGACACTTACCAGGCAACTTTCCTGGTGGGACGGCTCGTTGCACACTGTTTGGTTTGCAGCGCAGCGTGTTCTCTTGTATCGATCGGCTTCTCGAGTGCTACGGTTTTTGTGGGTGGTTGGGTGGGGTGTGTTACAGTTTGCGGGGTTTTGCATTGATATGGGTGCTTCAGCGTTGACGTACCTAGTGGTCGTTGTTTGTGCGTGAAAGGAGCGCCCGGATCATCGGTAGTAGGGCGATTTTGGAGAGTTGGCCGGCGGGGCTGTGCAAATGAGGAGGAGAGCAGTGAGCAACAGTGCGAGCAAATAGGTGCTATTCGAGCCTGGTCGTGTGTTGTTTGTGCCAGGAGACGATGCCGTTTTCGTTGTTTTGTGATTTTGTGACTCCTTGTGATTTTTACGGGATTTTGTTCATCGATATATCCGTAACAGTGTTTGTTTGAGTTATCTCGTAGTGCAGGGTTAATGCTGCGAGATGACGATGAGGCTGGTGACCTGCGGCTCCGTGTAGCCGAGTTGCACATATCTCCGTGTTTTGGGTGTCTCGTGCTTCTCCCTCGTAATTGCCTGCCCTGAGCGCTCAAAATTTCTGCACTTTTCTGAAGAGGAGTCATAAACGTATTTTACTCTGTAACAGTTGCTGGTCCCTGGACTGGGAGTTTGTGAATGCGTAATGGGAAGAGGAGGGGTTGCTCGCTGTGTAGTCCAGTTGCGAGAAGTCGTGTTTGAGAGTCGTTAGATTGATGCTTTTGTGCATAATCGACCGGTGCAATCGTTCACTTTCTGAACTTCATTTCTTTGCTGCCAACTGGGACATTGAGTTCTGGTAAAGTTAAAACCACTGCATTGTGAGATAACGGTTTTATTAAAAAACCTTTTTTTAGCAGGGATTCTCGCGCATTTTGCCACAAACGAGAAACTTGCAGCGAAACATGTCTAGCTCAAAGATTGCTGTGCGAAAGAGGTTGCTTTCAAATTCTCTGGAACAAGTTGATTTTGTTGCTTCGTTTGAATTGCCGAATTAGTTGAAATTTACTGCTCGTACCAGATTATATTCGTTTTCGAACTGGGCTGCTGCAACATCCGATTTGAGGTTAAAGTTGTGAGGTTAAAAGCTGCGACATCTAAAATCCCTCATTTTGCAGTTCACTGAACTGGCGGAGTTTTGTCTGCCCTTCGCTTAACAACTGGCTTAATACGCAGTAAGCTGGTATTTAGTTTCGCTTAAATGGCTATAAAGTGGAGAAGTTTCGAAGCAGTAAACCCTAAAAGGTGGCAGTGCTTTCGATAGCATGCAGCTGGGCTGAGAGCATTTAAAGTATGCTAATTAACTGAATGGGGAAACAGGCTTGGTGCAACAGCGAAGAAAGT